TTGCATATCTGTTCCAGTAAGTAATGGCTTCTTTGCGCAGCTTCGTCTGCTTACCGGCGCATTTGAATTTTGTGAATTTCCTCTGAACACTGTCCAGGTTATAATCTCACTTGTTTAAATTTTTTAGTCTATCTTCTAGAACGTATTCTATCTAAAATTTTATGAATCGTGATTTTGATGGGAAAAAAGTAATTTATGATTGGAGAACAGTCTCATTCATATCTATTGTAAATGCGTCTCTTTGTGTTCACGAAAGTATACCATCCAAAAATCAGTTGATTGCGCTGAATGCGGATCCTACTGTCAATGAATGATTTTTCATCTTAATTCTGTTAGACGCGAGCATTGCAGAAGTCTATGGAAGTTGCATAATAGCTTAGTTTTTGAAAAAAAAAATTATAATCTCACCCGAAAGAAACTTGTCTCGAAAAATCAGTCATTCAAATGATTTATCTTACAGGGCAGTTATGCGCTCGCTTCTGAAGAACATACTCATCAACTCGTTGGTTCCATTCAGCACAGTTGCATTTGCGTTCAACTTCAATCGGGCTATTTACGACATAGTGGCGAAGACTATTGTTATCTTGGATTAGCTCTTGACGAAAAGGTTATCTGTCATATTAGTGCTATTGCATTTTAGTACAATGCCACCTATTTGAATTTTCACCATTCTACCCTCTTTTGTAAAGCTTCATTGGTCGAGTCATCACGGCCTGAAGCTTCTCTTTTTGGCTTTGTAAAGTTGTAAGAAGCCAAACGAATCGATGAATACCCCCTGCTCACGAATTCATTCGTGTTCTCATTGAAAAATCATTTTCGGTGATTGTTCCTGGCGCACTCCTGTTGTTACTTCTTACTCTGCCGCATCCGAGTAGTGTGATGCAAATTTTCCACCCTATAGTTGCATGAGAGCAGAGCCTAAATTTAGTCTTTATCACATCAAAAGGTTACACTTGCATAAATGCGGAACAATTCAAATTGTATCGGGTTCTTGGCAGCAGTGCGCTTAGTATTTCTTCTTTTGCATGATCATAAACATCCTATTTTCATATTTTTGTTTTTTCGTTGTGTAGAGATAATATCTATCCAGCTTCACGTAGAGATAGTATCTATCTAGAGATGATAGCATCTGTTTATATCCGTTCAGTTTTGTCCGCTGTGATATGTGATAGTTACTTCTTCAATCTCATCTATCTGAAATCGGCTTATCATTTAAAGAACG